GAAGTTAAGATCTTTGGATTTATGAACCGCTCATTTTAAAATCTTCTCGGTCTACTGACATTTGTTATGACATCCGCTTCAAACATTACAATGCTCATGATAGCTTTTGCTAAATCTACACCACAAGTAAATCCACTTCACCAGCCCTTCAACAGCGATGCCATAGAAATATACAGAGCTACCACAAAAGCAGGTGTTCAAAGACAAAAGTCTATAGATGGCTGCACACTTGTTTCTCTGAAGCATAAGGTCTATATTATTACCCTTTACTTTTTATGCTATTTTCAGACAGTCACCCATATCAACTTTCATCTAGCTGCTGTGCTTTCCACAGAAATACTTTCCATTTTCACACCTTTTTTTCTTGTTGTGTGTGTAACTCGAATGACAACTTAAAACTTTGTAACAATTCAGAAATAATTTCGTGAAGTGATATGAAGAAACTGCAAGTTACGGAAACGTAGCTAATCAAAATAACGTATGTAATCATGTCCCAATAAAAAAAAAATCATAAATAAAAGCTGGAATATACTACACTACTTTTGTCAAGCCAATCTTCAGATTTGAGCTGACAGATTTCACAGAAAATCGCATAGTGAATGATGGGCACAGATTTTTTTTTTTTAGCTTCAGCCAATGAATCCATCCAGTTGCAGCATATCAAACTTGTTTGATATTTTGAGACAATTTTAGAACACATTTTTAATTTCATGTGTCTCCTGGATATGAAAAGCCATATAGTGTTTTCCAGCCTTATGTCACTCAATATGCATTGATGATTTTACCATGGTTATTTTAGTCTCTCTGCTTTACCTTATAAAATCACCACCACATGGCATCATATGACACTTCACGCATGCCCTCAGTGACGTGCCTTATGTGTCAGTAACTAGCAAATGGAGTGACTAAATGTCACTACTCGCTTTATTTCTAAAATGCATCAATTGTGTGAAAAATCACATCTAACAATACCACAGAACAGTAGCCTTATAGTAGTAGCAGTATAAATGTGAGAAGAGGGTTGAGGTTGGACAATGCACATACAAGCACTCATGTAAATATGAGCACATATGGCCACAAAAGCCTCAGTTTACAATCAATAGACATGCACCATGTGGCTTATATGGCACCGATAGCAGTGGAGGATGGAGGGGAACTGTACAGGGAGGAAGAAAGAAACCAGACTATTTTCTCCTCCATTTGCCAATGGATCAATAAATACATGTCAGCTTCAACAGTGTGTAGACCACACAAACATTTCCACAGGTCCCAGTGGGAGTGCTTTAGATTAACATCACACAACCATCTCTGCTATTTTTCCATTACGCTTTGGTATGATAGTTGACTAGCTTATAGCATCTCTCATTAACTGCAATTTGCTAATGTTGCCAAAGTTTCAGTTGTAAATACACTGTATTGTATTATCTGCAAGACATATGCATTCACAATTGTATATTTTACATCAGGATAAATTGTTTAAAACCACGTGTATACTAAATATAGCAGTTATACACAGTATAACAGTTCTGCATTGATCTTGATATATACAAATCTCTGTTATACTTTAGGTAACACAATCTGAGCTGCTGCAACAGCATATCTTATCACTGACAAGTATAAATAAAAAAAAAAGATGTAATGATGAATTAGGCCTAAATTTACACTCCCAAAGTATAATGCTTTGAGATTAGAGAATACTTAAGAATCGTTTGAAAGAAACTTCTCAGATTAGTATTTTTCCCCGCCTTGAGTCCTAATGGCATAAGCTTTCTCACAGACTTGTTGGGCGCTGTTCGCTAAGGTAAGTATCACTATGATTGATTTTACTTGGGGTTTAATGTTTGTTCAAATCTTTAAACCTCAAGTTTTATTTATTTATTTTGATTAAGACATTACAATCAAATGTGATTTTTTTCCCCCATTCTATCAGACCAGTCTTTACTGGTATAAAATAAATGCTATTATTTTATAATTCTCAGGTAAATATGTTGACTGAAGAGTAATACAAAATAATGAATAGGTATCACAATTGCGCCATCAACTGTCCAGCTTGTATTTCACTCCCAATCACATCTAGTGCAGTGGTTCTCTACCTTTTTCGACAACACTATTTGATGCATTGTTTGAGTAACTTGAAAACTAAAATAATTATAATTGAAACAATTACATTTCTACATTTCAGAAGTTCTAGGAGCTGAATGTTCTTCAGGGTTCCCATGTTTTGACCAATAAAGTTACATTACTCTTCCGATTTGTGATTTACTAGATAAGGGGGGCAAAGGATAAGATTTGTACTTTTTTTTTTTACTCCGAAAATCTACAATACTACTTTACTACCATTTTTCCTTACTGTGAAGAACCTTTTGTGCAATGGAAAAGATCCATCGATGTTAAAGGTTCTTCTTAGAACCATATACGCCAATAAAGAACCTTTATTTTTAAATGTGAATAAAATATTTTAGAGCTCATCTTAAATAGTATTCATGTCTAGAAATATATTTTTTAATTAGGCTACCTCATTTATATGCAGATTTTATATGAACGCAGGAGAGACCTGGTTCTTCTTCTTCTTCTTCAAAAAAAAAATGTTTTACCCCAATATCGCTCAAGGCCCCAGGCCATATTAATGATTCAACTGCTTTTCATATGTAGGTCTTGTGACGTCTTGCTTTGTAAATTGTTACATTTCTAATATGTATTTACAATAAAACATCTTAAAATAGTAAAAGTGCAAATGAGGTCCTTTTGAATTCTTCTGAGTGAACCAATCACGACGGCACATAATTAAAAAGGCAAATCACTGTATTTCATGTCTTATGCAAAAGGGAAAAGTAGGTGCGTCTCTATTTAACCCCAGATTACAGCTACAACCAGCAGAGTTCCCAAATATAGTTCAGAGTCAGCTGGAGACCTCTCGGGTGAGTGAGCAGATTAGCTTGGAGCTGATGACAAAACCTAACAAGTCACAGTTGCATATGACAACATGAACAAAAAACACAGAAGTGTATGCATAGACGTATACATTTATTTTTTATTGGAAAACACCAACACATTTTTCACATATTATCCATACAGATTTCATTTGTTGAGTATTACCAGTCTGGTTGCTCACTTTCAAACCCTGCAAAACTGTCAAAACAGTCCAGAACAGAGTAAGATATGCCATGTAAAGCTCTTCCACAGGAGTAATACATTTTGGCTAGAAAAAAAATAACCCAATTATTAGACCAATAACAAGCCCTTCATAGTCTTGCTAGCAGCATAATTCCTTTTGCCCCTCAAAATAACCAACATTCCACAGTTTCACCTTTATTGGTCGTCTTGCAAGCAGAGCGTAAATTAAATTTGGAGCACTTGACAACAAGAAGTTCTGACAAACCCACGAGAGCAAGAGACAAATGAGCCAGAAAAGCAGCAGCAGCAGGTTCCTCTTCGGTGGTTGGATGTATACTCTACACCAAAATGCAAATATATAGATATTTGTGTGTATATTCATAGATTGGGAACATAATTCTTAATTGACTACAATATCTTTTGCAAGAAAGTTGAGGTTTACGAGTATTATGGCACATTTCAAGACCATGGATCAAACAAAAGTCACAGACCTAACTAGAATAACAACAGGCAATGCAAAGTTTTACCAGATGTTAATATTGGAGAACAGTACATTTAGAAAGCATTATGCATTATGATAGCATTATGATTATCTATGTAACTATATACTTTACAGTTATGCTATTTGCGTTACTCTGTCACATTTCAATTCTGCTATACATACTTTGCATCTCCACGCTCCCACGAAATTTGAAGTCATCAAAGACAAAACCCACATTAACATAAAGGTTTAAACCAGCTGACGGAAACCACTGGCTCATGCCTTAAGTACATGCCTTATAGCCTATAAAGAAACTCGTCAAGTCATACTTCGCCATTAAACCGCAGTTATATAGCGTATGAGCATGATGTCGGGTTTTTACAATATGTATGTCTTCATAAACATCCAGTTTTGTTCTTGTTTGGAGTCTTAAACAGGAGAAGGCAATACGCAAAAGCATGACTTCACAACAGGGGTCACACACAGTTGTTTTTGCTCAGTTTGTATTGAAGGGAGCACTGTGACCCTGGACAATTTACCACAATGTTTTAGCATTATATA